TTTGCCCCAGGGGATGGGAGGTTTACTTGCTCTTGTAGGTGGCCAAGTGGACGAGCTTTGGCTCAGGTCCTGAAGACAACAGAACCATGCTCCTGTCTCCTTGCATGTTAGCCCCTAACTGAGCCAGGCTCCTTCCTTTTATCCTCCCTCCAGACCTGGCATTGGCTACAGGTAAAGCAGGGCGGGGCTAGCTGGGCCAAAAGGCTTTTTTTTATTCCTGTGATGCCAGGCCCACCTCTCTTCACTCCTCACACATTCAACATGACTACAGCAATACTGTGAATAGTGAAAAATCTCCCAGATGTTGTTTTGTCAGTTTTTAAGTATTTCTCTTTTGATTTTTTGCTTAATGTGACTCGTGTGATTGACAACTGAACTGCTTCCATATTTTATGAATACAGGACAGGGGCAGCAGTGTGTGGGGGGGGGGGGGGGGAGGGGGCAAGGGAGGCTGCCCCCTGTTCGTGGGCTGCTGCTAGAGCAGTCCCTGGGTCCAGGAGCTGCTTCTGCTGTGGCCTTGCGGTTTAAATGTAGTAAGAGCTAGATGAGCAGGCAGCCCGGTTCCTACTACATTTAAAGTGCAGAGCCTCAGGGGCAGAGGGTAAGTCCCACAGGCTTCCTCCCTTATTGACTAATCGTGTAGTCGATAATAGTCTATTGACGATTAGCTATTTACTTGCTTCCTACCATCCCTAATATGCAGTAAGGTTTGCTGATAATCTTTCTCCTGTTGTTTCAGGATGAATTCTTTATTTTTGTGTGTATGCTGATGAGGCTTTTAATGAAGACAATGAAGATATAGATTTAGAATATCAGATAATTCCTTTCTCATCCTTTTACAGTATGACTGCATGGAAGGGTACTCGCAAAACATAGGACACATTTACTCAGGTTTTTAAAGCACAATTCTTGATGTTTCATTTTTCAAGTTGCTTTGTACATTTTTTCTTTTTATGAATCACGATTTCCAATATGGCCCCATTGCTTATTGCTTCACACAGTAGCTATAACATCTGTGTTAATTAAATAGATATGTCACAGCATTGAAGCAAGTGCCTGCTGCCAGCGTACATGGGCAGTCAAGACATAAAACAAATAGAGCTTTGCAGAGGTATTAGCTGCATAACACAGTGTAGTGTAAAACAAAACATTGCAAAACCTAGATGCTTCTCAAACCTAATATTAGGAGCAAGTACAAATTCAAAATTATGCATATTCTTTAAATGATAGGATAGGACAAGAAAATACATAGGCGCTAAAAGCATCTCATTCTGTAGATGTCAGAATAATGCATTTTTCTTGTAACTGAATCACCTTTGTTGCTATCTTAGATCTCTTAAACTAAACTTGGGTCAAACTAGATTGTTAACTCAATAGGGGATCTCAAAAAACATCTAGGCAGCAGCCACACAAAGTAACTCCTGACTTGATGCCCTCCCAGACCTGGTTCTGGCCAGCCTTAAATGTGATTCAACGTCCACTCAGTGTGGACGCGCTATTTCAAAATAGCAAAACACTATTTTGAAATGCATTTTGTGTGTAGACGTGTTATTTCGAAATAACTATTTCAAATAAGCTATTTTGAAATAACACTGTAGTGTAGACATACCCTTTCTGTCTTAACATAGCAACATTCATCAGCAGTCTGTTTCTAAGTGGCTGCATTTTGGTGATGGATAAAGTGTTTCCTTTAAACAAAAGGGTGAGGTGAGTCATAGTTACTGACAAACTGTTAGGAGGGAGTAGGACTTAAGCTCAGACTTGGCTCAGTTATATGGTCCTCTTGTGGGAGAGATGAAGAGGTCTCTGGTACTCATGGTTTGAATTAACATTAACTTGCTTGGTATAGGAAATAATGAAAAAAATCAAATAAATATCTTTAATTGTGCAATAAATTGTTCAACACCATTTAGTAATATATAGCTAGTATATAAAAACCAGTAAAACCATACCTTATGTACTTTTTGGGGTGGGATTAGCAAATCATTCAGCATTGGTAAATGGTAAATCTTGGTATGCTTTTGAAAATCCCATTATAGATGTATGTAGAGACAAATTTGTAAAAATAATGGAGGAGACTTGGGCTATGTCTACACTGCAGAGCTTTTCTGATATCCCAGAAAAGCTCTGTTGCATTCAAGGAACTCATTTGCTTTCCCCCCCCAAAATTTGGAAAATCAGATGCCTTTTTTCAGCATCCCTGTAAACCTCATTCTACAAGGAAGAAGAGATGTTCCGAAAGAGGGGTTTTTCCTGACATTTGGCCCTGTGTTGATGGACCAAATGTCGGAAAAGCCTCTTTCAGAAGAAAAGCGGAAAAAGATACGCAAATTGCTAATCTTTTTCCGACTTTTCTTTGTAGTGTAGACATAGCCTTGGTGCATACAACCTGACTGGACTGATAAGGACCATTCCTTTTTACTAGAAATAAATCCTCAAAGTTATGGTTTTGGTCAAAAAATCAGGGATATGACAAACACATAGCAATAGGCCCTACTGGTGCAAACAGTCATGAAAGTAACTTTATGCACATAAGTAGACCTGTATAACTCAATAAATAAAAAATAATAGTAATTAATTTTTAAATATTTCCTTTATGCTGTTTTTCTCTAATTGGCTCATAAAGATAATCAAACAGCAGACTAAAATCTGCTTTTTAATTCAATTTGATTTAATTTAATTTCTGCAGGATTCAAAATATCTGTTATGTCACAGATAATAAACTACACATTAATTTAATTAAAAAGAAATGTGGTAATACACATTATAGCTCTGCCACATTCTCCACTGATAAGTAAGGGTCAGCTTATATGCTGTCCTACATGGTGGAGTAAGGAGACGTGAGGTACTTCCTTAACAATATGCATGCATTGCTATGTTCCTATCTATGCAAATATTCAGAGAATAGTTAGAAAGATGCAGGAAATAGACAGAACCTAGTCTCGTGTCCCATGCACTGGCCAATACACTTGTTCTGGGGCCCTTTGAATATCCAGTTCCTCAAGTAGAGAGTTGATAATTTGCCCTTCTCACTAGCGAGAAGAGGAATTGGGAAGAAGATTGTGACTCATGTAGCCTTTCTCCTTATTGCTGCTTACTTTTGCATCACTCACTATTCTTCAAGCATCCCATCAGTTAATTAAGCCAAAAACCTTCTGAAGATCTCCAGTTATAATGACCACTCATCACTCTGCATTTGTTTTGCACTGTCTCGAGCCTTTAGCATGGATGATCTTTGGCGTGGGGATGTTCTTCTTTGTTTTACACGTTCTGACTAATGCCAAGTATCCTCTACCCTTATGGTGCTCTCTATATATACAAGGGATATTAAAATGTATTTATTCAAGTACAGTAAATGTGTAATTGCTGAAAATGTCAGTGCTACACGGTTATATGAGGGTGGGCTTTAAAGCACTTAAAAGACAGCTTTCCATGTGCACTGCATCCTGCCTGCCATCCCTGCATCCCCATGTTGTTACAGAGTCAGCAACGTGGGGGAGGGCCTGCATGTAACCGTGTATGTAAACCGATGAGCCCAGGCTCATCGGTTAACTATGTACACGGTTACACTTTCACATCCCTAATAAATACACTAATGTAATTACATTAAACATTGAGGCAGTCAGATACTACGGTAATGGAGCCATAAATGTACCGTGTAAGATGGATGGATGGATGAATGGATGGATTTTTCTCATGAGGGAACAATGATGTCATTGGGGAAATTGGACTCTAGGAGGAAGATGGAGGAACTAGGGCCAACATATTCTAATTTGATTAACTGAGGCTGGACACCTGATTCAGTATTTAGGCACTTGATTAGGTGTCTAGAATTTCAGTAGTGCTGAGCATGTATAGCCTCGATTGATTTAAAAGGTGTTTAAACTATATAGATTTATGTGCTCAACTTTGCAATTTGAGCTATGAAAATTGTGTATCTTATTTCGAGTGAATTTCTTATTTGGAAATTTGGCACTGTCTACACAGCACTTACTTTGAAATAAATCACTATTCCAAAACATCTCTTATTCCTTGTGGAATGGGGTTTACAGGGATGTCGGAATAGCAAGGTGCGCTCAAAAAATGTGGAATACCTCCAGTATCCTGAAATAGTGCTGCAGTGTAGACGTAGCCTAATTGTGCAAATCATCTACCCTCAGCTGTGAGATAATTAGTAGGAAATCATCAGATGACACTCTTGGCTTTTCCTGGAATTTTATGCCCTCATCATACAACGGTTGGTGAATAATGTTTTCTTCAGGTTTTGTGGTGCAACATATATTGCTAATATGCAGTTTTATATAAATAACTGGCATAGTAAACACTGCCCTGGCATCATTCAGATCCCAACCTAAGAATCATCACACTGGTAATGCCCTTAATAAAAGTCACTAATTCATATTTTTTATAAAAAGCTTTAATTTAGTCATTGAGATAGACACAGCATCCAATACTGATTTACTATATAATTTCATCAAATAACCTTTGTCCTCTGTCCCATTCTCTTCCCTCTCTCCCTACTGTGTTTTGCCCTCACTTGTTGCTCTCTTACCTTTGTAAATTCTTCTGGAGGAACCATGGTTTACAGTTTGTTTTTTATAACATCTATTGGGTGTTGTAAAAATTACAAATAGTAGCTACAAAATACAAGTGAGGATAAACAGAATAATAAATAAAAGGGATACAGTTTTGAGCAGGGTAATGTGAAAAGAGCCCATTTCTTTGCTTTTCTTGCCTTTTTTGTAGTTAAATCACGAATAACTCTTTTAGAACTCTGCTCTTAGAAAATGCTGGGACAGATTTTTTATCCTGTATCCAACAGGAAGGAATAGGAACAAAATATTTACTTAAAATTCTCTAGAACTGGGACATTTTGGAGCTTCCAGTCATGAACCTCCAGCAAGTTTTTCTGTAGAGGACATCTTTCATAGCAACATTTAAAAAATGTATGGATGCAATAACCTTTCAGCAGGTGCTAACTATGGTTACCTTTGTTCCAGGAAATAAAGGAGTTTCTTTCTCTCCGGGAGTTCCTGCGTGTGAAGGTATTTGCTATGTACACTGTGTACTTATTGGGTTTTTGTTAGTCAATATTTTTGTTTTGTTATTTTGTGTTCATTGTTTAGGGGTATAATTGGTCCTTTAGGGATTGTGGGATTTTCTCCATTGGATCCACTTCAGAGGAGTTTAGAGGTTTGACCTGCACGCATGAGGTTTGGTGTGTGCCTGCTGTCTCCTGTGGGAGGATGGGTTGCTGAATGTAAGTAACGTCATTGGCTGTGCTAATGTAAAATCTGCCTCTTAAATGAGCAAATCTGTTCCTTGGCCAGTAAGAATATGTCTACACTACAGCACTAAATCGAACTAACTTAATTCGAAATAGTTAATTTGAAATAAGCTAATTCAGATTAGTGCATCTAGACCTAAAAACTAATTCGAATTAGCATTTTGCTAATTCGAAATAGCATGTCCACATTGGACCCTGACCCGAAGTTAAGGATGGCCGGAACCAGTGCCGGCAGGGCATCAGGTTAGGACTTACAGGCTGTGTCTAGACTACATGCCTCTGTCGGCAGAGGCATGAAGATTAGACAGATCAGCAAAGGCAAATGAAGCCGTGATTTAAATGATCGCGGCTTCATTTACATTTACATGGCTGCTGCGCTGAGCCGACAAACAGCTGATCAGCTGTTTGTCGGCTCGCACACTAGTCTGGACGTTCCCGAAACTCTCTTTATTTAACAAAACTGGGGGGGGGGAATTAACCTCTGGGGAGACTGGGAAAAGGAGGTGGGAGAGGGGAAGAGAGGGTGGGAGAGGAGAGGAGGAAACCTGGGAGGAGGGAGATGGAGGGGCGAAGCCAGGGGAAGAAGGAGGAGGGGAAGTATAAAACTATGGTACGCCATATCTTCAGTACTGTGTACAGATGTGGTCTCCTCATGTCAAAAAGATATTTTGGCCTTGGAAAGGGTTCAGAAAAGGGCCACTAAAATGATCAGGAGTTTGGAACAGGTCCCATATGAAGAGAGGCTATTAGCCAGGGGGTAGGAATGGTGTCCCTGGCCTCTGTTTGTGGAAGGCTGGAGATGGATGGCACAAGACAAATCGCTTGGTCATTGTCTTCAATCTATCCCTCCGGGGTACCTGGTGTTGGCTGCTGTCTGCAGACAGGCTACTGGGCTAGATGGACCTTTGGTCTGACCCAGTACGGCCGTTCTTATGTTCTTATGTTCTAAGC